TTGAGGTCCGACATGGGTCTGTCCCACGGTATTGACAGGACTGAGTTCCTTACTTAGAGGCTCTGGAGAAGAATCTGTATGTAAATCCATTTAAATTGTTCCCAGAATTCAGTTTCTTGATGTTGTAGGATAGGGGTCTCAGTTTCCTTGCTGGCTGTCAGCTGTGGGTGGGTATGGTGGGGCGGGAGCAGAGGGGCGTCTGCCTTTAACCCCTGGCACATGTGCCCATATGTTTCAGAGCCAGTACCTGCAGGTTGGCTCCTTCTCACACTCAGAACCTGTCCAACTTCCCCGTATGCCACACCCCTCTTCTACTTTCTTTGCCCTCTCTCTCTCTCTCTCTTCTACTTTTAAGGTTTCGTGTGATTACATTGAATCCACCTCACTAATCCAGGCTAATCCCATTTTAAGGTCCTCTGATTAGTGACCTTAATTCCATCTCAGAGTTTCTCACAGCAGCACCTAGGTTAGTGTTTGAGAGAATAAGGAGGGACACCTTTAGAATTTAGTCCTTGCTTGCACCTCCCTGCAGAGACTGCAGTGCACTGGCTGAGCACCAGTGCTGGGAGGACAGCTGCCCCCCATGAGGCCTGCCAGCTAAAGTTTGTGTGATTGTGTGTGGTCAGGCCCGAAAGATCGTACATAAGACTTTGCCCTGCAGATGGCTTCCTCAAGCAAACATTGTAACCAATAGAGAAGCAGCTACCACTCATATTAGCTGGGAAAAAAAGGATGTTTGTTATTTTTGTAGTGTTCACAGTGCCTTGTTTTAATATATGCTTAGACCAGAATGTGAAGTGGACATGGTCTTGCTGCTTTAAGATTTTTTTTTTTTTTTTTTTTAAATTTGGTATCACCTCATGGCAGCCACAGAGTGACTTTTCTGTATGTTCAACAGGAAAAAATCAAGGCCCAGCTGGGAGTATCAGGCCAGCACCTGGATATACAGAGTTACTTTTCTCTTTCTCAGCTGCTTGATAAAACTGAGATCTTTAGGACTATAGCATCTGACTGAGAAAAGCAGCCCAAATGTTCTAGAAACATGTAACCCGCCTGGTATGTGATGATAATCTTTGAATAAAGAATTTAATTATTATATTCACTAAGATCAGTTTTAATAAGATAGTTTTTAGGCTAGTTTTAAGTGAGAATTTTAATGCTTAAGAATATATTTCAGTTATTTAAAATTTAGTAAAAGGGAAAAATGTAATTTCCTAATGATGCTCAATGAATTACATTTTGTATTTTATATGATATAAGTTATATAGGAGAAAGATGACATGTGGCTGCAAACAAAGTGGTCAGAATTTTCAGGCCTGTTTTGTCAAGCCATGGGTATAACAGAAAAAAAATCAGGAAGCACCAGTGAGGTTCACAGACTCATGATCTGAAAGGTACATACCAACCGTAAAGGGAAACCAAAACTTAGAGGCCTTGGACAGTTAATCACTCAGTGTCAGCTTCTCATCTGTAAAATAGGGTACAAATATCTATCGATAGTAATACCTCACAGAGTTATTGTACCTAGTTAAGTCCTAAGTAGGATTATTAATGCTATTGATAACCTTAACCCCATGAATTTACATACCTTCTACCCTTTTCTCAGTCAAGCCCTCTGTTTCCTGATAAGTTAGTTGAACAGTTTCCCAAAGGTGTTAGCAACAGTAACTTTTTACCCTTTTAGTTGTTTAGGAGTCTAGGATCTTGTGAGTAACTCTTTGCTAATTTGCATGGTTACCAGTAAATGGCTCTGAAAGGGCATTTATGCCTTCATTCGACAAATATTACAGTGAACAAACTGTTTATGTGTAAAATCAGTGTCTTAGTTTGGGTAGCTCCAAAGCAGACTAGAGAGATAGGTGTGGTTTCAAGTAGTTTATGCGAGAGGTGGTCACAGAGAGCTCTGTGGAGTTGGGGAGAGAGGGTGGTAATAGGTGTACACAAGTGGGTTACCACTGTGGGCAACTGAGGTTCAATCCTGCTGGAGATTCTCTGAGGGACTTTGTGGTACGTGCCTCCACATTGTCCCACCAAGGGACAAGGATGCTAGGTTTTTTATCCACCATCGGTTGAAGATCTCCTGGGGTGGAAACTTTCTGACACTTTGGACTTGCCCCACACAGGGGCCTCCAACCAGAAAACACCGCTTGGCAGAGAGCCTTACCAAGTTGCAGGCGGTAGGTTAACAACTGGGTTGTAATGGTGGACTGTTTGTGTATCTTGTTACAGAAAGCACAATTAATGTTGGTAATACAGGGTAAAAGTTAAAGATGTTTAAATATTTTTCTTTAGGATTTCCTATTGCAGCAGACCATGCTACGAGTTAAGGATCCTAAGAAGTCACTGGATTTTTATACTAGAGTTCTTGGAATGACGTAAGTAAAGTACTTATTGGCACCTGAGTGTTTAAATATATAGCTTTGCAAATGTAGAGAATGTTTTCAGACACATCTTAAAGTTTGTTTCAGAACTAGCAAAAGTTCTTTTGGCCAGGAGCCTGTGATGAGGCCTGACGAGGCAGGGCTTATCCCTTAAGTTATTTTTCTTGTCTATCCCAGCCAGCCTCAAAGGGCAAAACAAGACACAAATACTTGGATTTTCTCCAATCTCCCTTCTCTCTGAGAGCTCCCAGCTAAATCCTTAACATGTTTAGACCCCTTTCGATGTTCTGGCCACTTTTAGCCTCTTGTTTACTTCAGAAAAGTTATGGATAATAAGGACTTATTACTCAGAAAACGAATGAGTTTACTTAAAAAGTGACCATCTGTTCCATTTTTCTAGGCTGTGTTTTCTTCTGCTGAACAGTTAATATCCACTGATCTTACAATCTTAAAGCATATTTATTTGTTTGTTTTCCTTTCTTTCCTCCAGCTTTATTGAGATATATTGAGAAATAATGTTATATTGTTGATTCGTTTCCCTAAATTATATGAGCATTTTGTTTGTTTTTGATCATATAGATACATGAATAATAAAACAATCTTCAAATTTAGTGCCTAGATAACTTGCTTCACATTGAGAGAAAGATTTAAGTAATATATGTCAATATTGAGAAAATTTGACCAGTTCAGGAAAACACAAAATGAAAAGTGATGGCTTCCCTCCCCAGGTTCTTCTCTCAGAGTTAACTGCTGTTCAGTTTCTTGTGATTTTTTTTCCATTCATTGTCTGATCCGCTGTAATGCTGACTTTGTGTTCAGGTCCCCAAATAGGGTACAAGTTGACAGTAAACTGGAAGATAGGCACAGCTGAGAATAGCCAGTTGCAACAGTTCCGCTTCCTTCAGTCCCATCCGATTGGTCCATAAAGGTTGTGTAGTCTGCTTTAGTAGATGCAGAGATTGTTTTTCATGATTGGAGTATTTGAGGTGTTTATTAGAGTAAATCTTATTTGTGATAAGTCAGTGCATGGATCTAAGTGGGCCAAGACATATTATATAGCAGTGATGATGAAATAAAAGATTTGAAACAGAACTCTAGAAACTTTCCATTTGTTATATGCTTCAGCCATTTGCTCTTATTGATTATGAACAAGGTCATCTTTGAGCATTTAATCCTGAATAATCTAAAGAAAATCATATTATATGCATTCTCATTCCACGTTGCTCATTGCAGAATAATCCTACACCATTTAAAGTCAAAGTTAATTACTTCGGTTATCTTTTTAAAACCTCAGAATTCATAATTCATTCACTTTTTCTCTCATATCAGTTTCTTCTTTTCCACAGTCTCTTTCCCCTCAGAGAAGCTTGAGTCTTCTCTGTTCTGGAATATTTCTTGCACTCTGCTCCCTTGCCCATCTCCCCACTGTCACCGACCATGCTTGCTGCTGTTTTACATGCTCACCTGCCGTTCTCTCTCCCCAGTGCAGCACAGGCCAGCTTATGCTTCCCCAGGCTGCTGACATTGCTCTCACGGGACCTTTCCATATCTCATGACCTTTTCTCAGGCTTAATACTGTTTGACCTTTCTGTAGTCTCTGATACTGTTAGCCACCTTACCATTGACATTCACGTCTTCTATAATATTAGTCTGTCCTTCTTCCTGCTTTCTTACCACCTATCCTTAACTTCCTTTCCTAGATGTTTTAGCATAGTAAGAACTCAATAAATGTGTTTATTTAACTGAGTGACATATTTATAAGTGTGTTTGTATGTGTGTATGTATATGAAATGACAAGGTCCTTTATATTTTTTCACTACAGGTAAACAAAATTCTCGTTTGGAGATAGCTGTTTCTATATATAAACAAGTACCATAATTTCAGCTAAATTTTATTATATTTAAAGAATTTATGAATTACAGCAGTTTTTAGTTTTTTTATTTCAAACATTTACAGATATATTTTTTAAATGAGATTTTTTCACTGATTTTTTTTTCTCCTGCTTATCCCATTAAAATAGGCTCACTACAGATAGTTCTTCTTTTTAGTAAAACTTGAATATTAAGTTATGTTGATTTTAGTATGAGTAAGCCTTTCCTGTTGTTAATGATTCAGGATTTTTTTGGTTTTTTTTCATTGCAGGCTAATCCAAAAATGTGATTTTCCTTCTATGAAGTTTTCACTCTATTTCTTGGCTTACGAGGATAAAAATGACATCCCTAAAGATAAAGATGAAAAAATAGCCTGGGCATTCTCCAGAAAAGCTACACTTGAGCTGACACAGTGAGTTTGAGTTTCTATATTCGTATATATTCTAGATTTTTTAAGGTAGTTTTTAAAAATCTTTTTCTTTTTTTTTCAAAATTTGGAAATATTTATTTATAAGGTTAATAACTATCTTTGAAGTTAAGCAGTTAACTGAGCAATTAAATATTTTTGTCCATATACAATCATATTTAACTACTGCTATAAATAAGATGGTCATAATTTCTCCAGTTTCAGTCTGAACATATAACTTATAGTAATAAGACACAGGTTCTAGTACAGATTTTGTAATTAGTGGTATAGCCCGTTAGATCTCTGCCTTCACCCACATCAAACAAGAGTAATATCTTTTTCTTAACCTATCTTCTAGGTAAACAGACGAGATTATATGAAAACATTTTGCTAAAGTCACTAAACAAACATAAGGAAAAAAATGACAGTTTTTTTTTTATCATATTAACTGTTTTCTAATACTTGATTGACATTTTTGTAATATAATCAAAATAAAAATTGCATACTTTCAAGAACTACAAAATTCAGTAGTTACATGAGGTGAATTAAAATAGTAAAGCTAGTCATAATACAAAGTCCACTCATCCATGTTCTCATTTAATAATATTAAGAAATAATAATTATAAAAATAGGTAAAATTCCATGAAAATACTCCTATTTGTTCTAGTTCAGGAGGTCTTGCTAACATCAATGGATTGTCTGGCATCAGCCACTGTTCCAGGCACTCGAACAGTCATATTGTCCATAGATTTTGTCAAGCAGATTTGGCAGCCCAACCATGATCTGTCTGTTAGTCCATATGCCAGATCGAGCATGTCATTCTCCTCATCAGTGATTGCATCTAACTTCTCAAATATGTGATCTTCAAAGATGAGGTGACAAGTTGAACAAGCCAGGGTTCCCTCACATGCACCAAAGCCATCAATATCTAGATTATTTTCAACCACAACATCTAGGAGATAATCACCAACTTTTCCTTTGGTTGTTAATGTTTCACCATCACGGTTTACAAAGTGGACTGTTATTTTTATCTTCTGAGCTGCTCTGTGCCCGCACTGACACACTCAGTGGACAGCTCGCCCCAGCGCTCCCCCGAGGCGCCCGGCTCCTCAGGAGGCCGCCCGCAGCAGCGCGGGACCCAGCATGGTGCAGCCACCGGCCTGCAGGGCCGCCGAGGCAAAAATCTTTTTCATTTTGTTTACTTACCAGTATAATTCAAACCAGGTCTGCCTAATCACCTCACATTTATAATAATATATTGAAGTGTTTTTTGTGTATCTTTCGATCTTTGTATTGTTCTTGAGCAAATGAGATTCTTTTCTTAGAGACGGGCTCTCTGAAGCCCGTTAACTTCTAGGCAATCTTCCTGCCTCAGCCTCCTGAGCAGCTTGGACTACAAGTGTGTGCCACCATACTCAGCTTACTTTTTTGTTTGTTTTTGGTAGAGGCACAGAGGCAAAGTCTCACTGTGTTGCCCAGGCTCGTCTCATACTCCTGGCTTCAAGTGACCTGCCCACCTTGGCCTCCCAGACTGCTGGGATTATAGGTGTGAGCCACCACACCTGGCCCATTTGTCTTTTAGATAGAGAATATAAGACCCTGAAATTGGGGTTCGATCCAAGATGGCCATTTAGGAACAGCTCAGGATAGCAGCCCCCAGTGAAAGCGCAGAGGGTGAGTGGATGCCGCATTTTTACTGCCCACAGACTAGGAAATTCCCAGGCGGAGGAACTCCACAGGTCACCAGCGTGGCTGTTTCGGCCAGCACGGCTGTGCCGGCAGGTGCCGCTGCTTTGCCCCGCCCGGCTGCTTTGTCGGCACCCCCGGAGCAGCGGTTCTCCGTACAAAATACACCGGTCCGGGTGCCCTTTTGGCTGGCGATTGGAGCCACGGGAAGTCGCCCATTCGTCTGTTTAAAAAGGGGACTGAGCAGGGAACCAGGACAGTAGATTCCAGGGCAAAAAAAAAACAGCACCACAAACCTCAGTGCTGCTGTTTAAGCCAGTGCAGTGAGTGGCCGCAGGGGAAAACAAATAGACCCCGGCGCCTCTTCAACAGGCGACTGGAACACAAACTTAAAAAAGGCTCTGAGGCAGGGAGCCAGGCGATCAGGCTCGGCTGGTCCCACCCCCACAAAAGAACAGCAACCAGAAACTCTGGATTGAGAGTTTCACAGCAAGAGCAGCTGAACCTGGGACGGTCCAGCTCTGTGGGGGAGAGGCGTCCACCGTTACCGAGGCAGCCCACCGCGACAGAGGTAGTCGGCCAATCCTGAGGCAGCCTGCCGTTGCCAAGGCAACCCGCCACAGCAGAGAGACTCCGCCTTAACAGAGGCGGGCTACCATCGCCAAAGCAACTCTAACTACACCCATATAAACAGGACTGCAAGGAAGTTCACTCGGCAGCTGGGCGGAGCCCACGGCAGCTCAGCAAAGCCTTTACAGGCCTACAGTGACTAGGCTGCCTCCTTGCTGGGCAGGGCAGGTCTGAAGGAAAAAAAAAAAGAAGGCAGCAGCATAACGGAAACTCATAAATAAAGCCCTAAATCCCTGGGACAGAGCACCTGGGAACAAAAAGCAGTCTATGAGTTCTGCTGCAGCAGACCTAAACGTACCTGCCCAGCAGCTCTGAATGAACAACAGAGCTCACAGCTCACCATTTGAGCTCCTATAAAGAAGAGACCGTCTCTTCAAGCAGCTCCCTGACCCCTATATATCCAAAGAGACACCTCAGAAAGGAGAGATCAGATTGACACTAGGCAGGTACCCTTCTGGGACAAAGATAGCAGAAGAAGAAAACTGGTAACAACCCTTACTGTTCAGCTGCTGCTGCAGGTGAACGCCAGGCAAGCAGGGCCTGGAGTGAACCTCAGCAGACCTACAGCAGAGGGGCCAGACTGTCAGAAGGAAAACCAAGAAACAGAAATAACCTCATCATCAACAAACAGAACGTCAATCTGAAAGATTTGAGACCCAATCTGAAAGCCAGCAACTACAAAGTCGACAGGTGGATAAATCCTTAAAGATGGGAAGAAACCAGCGCAAAAAGGATGAAAACGCCCGAAACCAGAACACCTCTCCTACTACAAGGGATCACAACTCCCTCACCAGCAAGGGAACAAGGTTGGAGGGAGAACGAGTGTGATGAAATGACAGAATCAGACTTCAGAAGGTGGGTAGTAAGAAAGTTCTGTGAACTTAAAGAACATGTTCTAACCAAATGCAAAGAAACTAAGAACCTTGAAAAAAGATTTGACGAAATGCTAACGAGAATGGACAAAATAGAAAGGAATATAAGTGAATTGATGGAGCTGAAAAACACAACATGAGAACTTGGCGAAGCATGCACAAGTATCAACAGCCGAATTGACCAAGCAGAAGAAAGGATATCCGAGGTTGAAGATCAACTCAATGAAATAAAATGGGAAGGCAAGACTGGAGAAAAAAGGGTAAAAAGGAATGAACAAAATCTCCAAGAAATGTGGGACTATGTGAAAAGACCTAATCTACGTTTGATAGGTGTACCTGAATGCGACGAAGAGAATGAATCCAAGCTGGAAAATACTCTTCAGGATATTATCCAGGAAAACTTCCCCAACCTAGCAAGGCAGGCAAACATTCAAGTCCAGGAAATACAGAGAACACCACAAAGATATTCGTCAAGAAGAGCAACCCCAAGGCACATAATCGTCGGCTTCACCAGGGCTGAAATGAAGGAGAAAATACTAAGGGCAGCCAGAGAGAAGGGTCGGGTTACCCCCAAAGGGAAGCCCATCAGACTCACAGCAGATCTCTCAGCAGAAACCCTACAAGCCAGAAGAGAGTGGGGGCCAATATTCAACATCCTTAAAGAAAAGAACTTTCAACCCAGAATCTCCTACCCAGCCAAGCCAAACTAAGCTTCATAAGTGAAGGAAAAATAAAATCCTTTGTGAACATGCAAGTACTCAGAGATTTCGTCACCACCAGGCCAGTTCTACGAGAGCTCCTGAAAGAGGCTCTACACATGTAAAGGAACAACAAGTACCAGCTCAACTAAAGGGCAAAACACCCGCTAGCACCAAAATGGCAGTATCAAATTTGCACATAACAATATTAACCCTAAATGTAAATGGACTAAATGCCCCAATCAAAAGACACAGAGTGGTACATTGGATAAAAAACCAAAACCCATCAGTGTGCTGTATCCAGAAAACCCATCTCACATGCAAGGATACACAAAGGCTCAAAATAAAGGCATAGAGGAAGATTTACCAAGCAAATGGAGAGCAAAAAAAAGCAGGAGTTGCAATTCTCATCTCTGATAAATTAGACTTTAAAGCAACAAAGATCATAAGAGACAAAGAGGGACATTACATAATGGTAAAAGGATCAATGCAACAAGAAGCGTTAACGATCCTAAATATATATGCACCCAATACAGGAGCACCCAGATACATAAGGCAAGTTCTTAATGACTTACAAAGAGACTTAGACTCCCACACAATAATAGTGGGAGACTTTAACACCCCATTGTCAACATTAGACAGATCAACCAGACAGAAAATTAACAAGGATATCCAGGACTTGAACTCAGACCTGGACCAAGCAAACCTAATAGACATCTACAGAACGCTCCACCCCAAATCCACAGAGTATACATTCTTCTCAGCACCACATCACACCTACTCTAAAATTGACCACATAATTGGGAGTAAATCACTCCTCAGCAAATGCAGAAGAACGGAAATCATAACAAACAGTCTCTCAGACCACAGTACAATCAAGTTAGAACTCAGAATTCAAAAACTAACCCAGAACCGCACAGCTTCATGGAAACTGAACAACTTGCTCTTGAATGTTGACTGGATAAACAATGAAATGAAGACAGAAATAAAGATGTTCTTCGAAACCAACGAGAATGAAGACACAACATACCAGAATCTCTGGGACACATTTAAAGCAGTCTCTAGAGGAAAATATATAGCAATAAGTGCCCACATGAGAAGCAAGGAGAGATCAAAAATTGACACCCTATCGTCAAAACTGAAAGAGCTAGAGGAGCAAGATGAAAAAACCTCAAAGTCTAGCAGAAGACAAGAAATAGCTAAGATCAGAGCAGAACTGAGGGAAATAGAGACACAAAAAACCCTTCAAAAAATCAATAAATCCTGGAGCTGGTTTTTTGAAAAGATCAACAAAATAGACAGACCAATAGCCAGATTAATAAAAAAGAAAAGAGAGAATAACCAAATTGATGCAATAAAAGATGATAAAGGGGATATCACCACAGATTCCACAGAAATTCAAACCATCATCAGAGATTATTACAAACAACTCTATGCACATAAACTAATAAACCTGGAAGAAATGGATAAATTCCTGGACACTTGCCTCCTCCCAAGCCTAAACCAGGAAGAAGCCAAAACCCTGAACAGACCCATAACAAGGTCTGAAGTTGAGGCAGCAATTAAGAGCTTACCACCCAAAAAAAGCCCAGGTCCAGACGGGTTCACAGCCAAATTCTACCAGACATACAAAGAGGAGCTGGTACCATTCCTTCTGAAACTATTCCAAACAATACAAAAAGAGGGAATTCTTCCCAAATCATTTTATGAGGCCAACATCATCCTGATTCCAAAACACGGCAGAGACTCAACAAGAAAAGAAAACTTCAGGACAATATCCATGATGAACATAGATGCAAAAATATTCAATAAAATACTGACAAGCCGATTGCAACAGCACATCAAAAAGCTTATCCACCATGATCAACTAGGCTTCATCCCGGGGATGCAAGGCTGGCTCAACATACGCAAGTCTATAAACGTAATTCACCACATAAACAGAACCAAAGACAAAAACCACATGATTATCTCAACTGATGCAGAGAAGGCCTTTGACAAAATTCGACAGCCCTTTATGCTAAAAACCCTCAATAAGCTAGGTATTGACAGAACATATCTCAAAATAATAAAAGCTATTTATGACAAACCAACAGCCAATATCATACTGAATGGGCAAAAACTGGAAGCATTCCCCTTGAAATGTGGCACCAGACAAGGATGCCCTCTCTCACCACTGCTATTCAATATAGTATTAGAAGTTCTAGCCAGAGCAATCAGGCAAGAAAAAGAAATAAAGGGCATTCAAATAGGAAAGGAGGAAGTCAAATTGTCTCTATTTGCAGACGACATGATTGTATATCTAGAACACCCCATCATC